TTCTGAAGTCGTAGAAATCTTGAATTTAGTCTGCAAATAGTATTTACACAGAAACTTGGAACTTTTACCACCCATCCCCTTAAACTAGGAAGTGGATTTTTTGTTGAGAAATCCGTAAATTTTAATGCTTAAGTCTGAAAATTTATATAAAGACTTATTATTATTAAAATTGGTATTACAGGACTTTAGTCCATGCAAACTTAATTTCATGCTGTTACGATTCATTAGACTACCTTCCTACTTACAAACGTTTTGATTCATACTTATTAATGTTATCTTTACGCTGCTATCATAATCTTGGTCTCGGCTTAGCAATATTTTAAATGAAAATATTTTATTTAATTTCTTTCTTTCTTTCTTCTTTCTATTTGCCACTTTTAAAAAACATGTTAAAACTTACTTTTTGCAAATATAACAATTATAATTATACGTCAATTTTTTTTTACATCACTTATTCATGTCTATGATTCCCCGCTAACTGCTTATACTGAGCTGAGAAAAGCTTGGCGACACACACCATGACATTTTGATTATAATTTGTAGCTCCTGATAGTGTCTTCATTATAATATCCTTACTAATTTTTACTTTTGTCTTTTCTCTGTCCTATTTTTAAACATTTTGTAAACTGTGTATGTGATGTGTGTTGCCTAATAAAAACCTATACTATTCTATAATATTATATTCTAATTTTGGTGGAATGTTATGTACAGCTTACGCTTAGCATTATTTTAGCTTTTATGCTTAGCATTATGAAGTTTTGTCGGTGTAAATTCAGAGCTTATTTTTACTGATATTTTTGGGAAGCACTAAGTTATGTCATCGGAGGCTGCTGATTAGCCTCATTATATCCTCACTGATTGGTGAGTGTTAACGACTGCAGATGAAGTTTGGGTCCACGGCTTAACGTAGCTTCCGAAGCGCGGAGGAGCTCGTGATAGTAAAGTTTTCATTACCCTCATAGGATTGGCCGTTGCGAAAGCTGTTAGATTGAACTAACTAATCATAGATTGATCGAGCTCCTCTATGACTTTAGCTGATATCAAAATGTCATTAAATCAAAGCCATATTACTAAATATACACACCATATTCTACATTTGACTTATGGCTTGGGCTATGAAAGGGTAATAGACAGACAGATAGAGTTACAGTAAAGTTGAAGTATGCTGTTGTTGATCACAAGATAACATCAGATGCTTGTCCAACTATAAAGATTGCAGTTATTTTACCGTTTACAAAAACAAATTCCTTCTTATCTGCCCTATGGCAGTATTCACGGACGTAATCTTACTTGTGTATTACGTATATTGTGCCTTCTTTCGCCACAATTTGGCTCGCTATCGCTACGTCGGCATTTCTCTCCAGATTTATGGGAACGACTCTTTCTCTAATATTGTTTACTTCGGTAATGGTCAGTTTTATTACTATGGTCCGTCCGCCGCTTTTATTTTATTCGTCTCCAACGTTATGGATTATCGAAGATATAATATTGTTAGGTGTTAAATTGAGCATAACAATGTTATAAACCTAAAACACATTTAGGCATTTATGATGATTTTTAATGGATATTGCTCATATAGACTTATGTTGTGATATCATTTTAAGAGCACGTTAAATACATTTCATATTACTTTTAGTTGGAGTTCTAATGGTTTCTGTGTATATTTTATTGTTCCTTTAACTTATAAGCCATCTAAATATACTAGCAATTCAGTATATTCCATAGTTATAAATGAATAAATAAATCAGTCACATAAAGCATATGTCAACTCCATAAATTCAACAATTTCTAACGCACATATATTTTTATTAGTTTCGGAGGCAACGTACAGTTAAGATATTTTTGCTTAGTTGTAAAATATGTTAGGGTTTCCCCTATAAAATTTCCCGTTTGAGCCCGACCCCGTTGTTCGACCGTCGTGTTTTGTTCCATTGGAACCCTTGTACCCTCTATTCTGTGATATTCAATACCACTGACAATAACAACGGGCTGCGGTCTCCTACTTTATTATCGTGTATGCTATTAGCATTGAGCAAAGGAAAAGTGGTAACTATGCCGGCTTTCTTTATTTGGGCCAAATATCTTTTCCTCTGTTCAAATGATGAATGAATATTTTTTCATTTAAGGAGTAAAATATGGGCTAAGCAAAGCCTGTTAGTAGAAAGAAAGTAATTATCTCAATTTTTGTTATGATCTGTTTACTTTAATGTTAAAAAATATTTTTCTCTTTTAATATTTCTAATAAAAATATGTCGTGTGATCTAAAAGATTGTTTTATTTGTAGATTTTTTCAATGTATAATAGTTTCAGGATTAATTTACACATGTTTTGTCTAAGTTGCTTGCAAACTTAAATTGGTATGTTCAAATATATGTGCCTTATATGTATTTTAACAAACCATGTAAGTTTATTTATATGCCGGGTTTACATAGATAGAAACACTTTATTGCAGATGGAGTATTTTTTCGAAATACTTACAATGAAGTTTGCCAAGCTATCTATATTAATTATAATAATAAATACTACAATTCACCTGACTTACGAAGCCGTCGTTGAAAGACCAACCAACCTGATGAACGAGGATAGTAGGTCTAAAGTGTGCCTATTTCTTTAAAAAGCCTGTATAGCTTCTTCTGATATTAATTTGAAATCTAGGAAGACTTGAAAATTGAGAAAGTTTAACTAAAAATGTGAAGAATAAATCGGCATTTAGATAAAAACAAAGACAAACTATCTGTTTTCGACTTTTTGTGTGTGTTATGTTTCATCAAAACTTTTTAATTACCTAAACTTCGTCATAATCTATACGAATGTTATAACGAGAAAAGATTCGATTATGCATTTTTTTTAATGCAGGTTCCCCCACTTTTGAGCAGGCTGTCTTTTCGTTCTTTTGTTTATAATTGTATGCTCGTTTTTTTATATTTTCTTAATACAGATCTTGTTGATCTGTTGTCTTGGGGATCGCTCTTTTTCCCTCTTTTGAGCTTGTTCTTATTTCTATTACATTGTTTCTTATTTTAATTTCTTATTTGATTATCTATTTACATTAAATAGGCTCTGATTTAATAATTCTTTCATTTTATAAATAATTTCAAGTTATAATTTACACAGTTGAAGACACGGGAAAACTGAAACTTTTTTTCCTATTTCATTTTTTACACTATTTATAACTAGAATTTTATCGAAATTAATAGAAACTAGAAGTTTCTGTTACACGTAAAAAGAAAATATAGGACTAAAGATCAAGTTTGTGAACTATAAGTAGTGTTTGTTGTTCGATAGTCCTCAGTTCGATAGTATCGATAATCGACGTCAATATATCGACAGCTCAGTATACTATCAACACAAATATTTTTGAAATATTCTGTAGTAATATAATTGATACAAGCTATTAATCTGTCTATATCTTGCACGCGCTAAATACATGCTTATTTTCGCGTCCTTTTATACTTCCTTTAGTTTAAAATTAAAACGTAATAAGTATAATCAATGTTATTTATAGATAATAAGACAATAACCAGATGATATTGATAGGTGCCGACGACTGCAGACATGGTACAGACAGGAATAACAGTAAAACGTGCTTTAACGAAGTTTAAATAGTTAAACATAAAAGTGTCGGTCACCCATCCAATGAAGGACTTTAACGAAAACAGCTTAAAATTTACAATAGACCGATAGCGCTTACTGCTCCGCCGTCGAGCTCCTTATAAGATTATATTTAGTTAAAATGGGTTCCATTTACTCAATCCATTGTTTTATATGAAAAGGGTGTTTGATTAATCACCGAGCGAAAACTTTTTCGGTCCGTTGTTTAGTAACAACACAAAAAGCTTCCCTTGAAAATTATGGCAAAGTGTACCCATCACTTAGCGTTTCACGAAAAACTAAGTGCGACACACCAAACAGTTATTCAAGACCCTCAGTATTTAACCATTAAGCTGAATGTTTCCTTAGTGTGTCTTTCGAAAGTTGTTGATAGGCACCGAAAGCGACGGAGAGTTAATATTGAAGCTACATATAATACACATAAGGTTCAACTTTGAAAGTTAAGAGAACCAGAATGAGTTTTCTAAAAAAAAGCTTTATATTTGATTGGCAATTTTTATTCTATGTCATTATGGTTTTTTGATACATTTTTTTAGGTCATCATCCTCACCTGACTATTATTGTTCCATTAGTCAGAAGGCTTCTCTGTAGATGCAGCTGAGACCGGTGGTTTAAGGGGCTAAATTTTGGTCACACATCCTTGTGAAAGTTGCTTAACTTCGCATCGCAGTGCGAATGCGCCAATCACTCCGCCATCGAACTCCTTACCGCACTATGCTCCATTTTAGATCATCACCTAAACGGAGAGGTTTCGGTATTGATTCTAAAATGGACTAATATAAATATAAAGCTGGATTTAAAATTCTAATCAAATCCATTGTCAATATACCTAAACGTTTCCTAAACAACTTTTAGATGAAAAAGAGTTTATATGTCAAAATATTATTTTGGATTAAGTCATCAAAATTCTTGAGGAAGATAAAAAGTAAGAACACTAAAGAACCATATCTAGTTGTCTAAAACAGACCTTATTCTTGTAAATATACTATTATAATTTATCTATGCTTCACTATTCTATTCTTGTCAATGCTGCCTTTTGTCGGTTAGAATCTTAGCCATCGTTTTCTATTGTATTTTTCATGAATATATTTCATATTTTTTCCCAAATCCGCTATTTGCTATCCTCAACACAAGTAGTTCAATATATGTTTTAACTAAAATGTAAACAATTTTTTACAATTATAGAATTTTCTTTTAGTTATTATACTTCTAGTTGTACTATTTATATTGATTTTTTATAATAATTATATTTAAGTTTACTTTCATACAAATATTCGTAGGAATGATGATCTACTAAGTCAAAATCTAGATGTTGTTAATTACCCTATGTCAGTTAAAACGTCCCCGGTCTTAGATTGCGTAATAGTGTCTACGCTTGTACTGTGATAATGAAACACAACAATGTATTCGAGGCACGTACAGCAAAGCCCTATCGAGAGATAGGGCCGTGTTCCTTTAGACTTGACATTCCCAAGAAATTAGAATCGCAGTCATCGCAGTAGATAAACTCGCAATTATAAGACGCTTGTGTTTTAAGACAATAGACATAACAATGTCAAGAATAGAAAAGAATTTAAATGTGTACCCATTTATTACACAAAATTTGCTTTGAATCTGAGTCGTTAGATTATAGACAGAAGATATATTTTAATCAGGTTTGCTTTTTCGTAAAATATAGCATACAACCTCCTTAAATTATAAACTGGATTTTATTCCGCGAATTCATCAATAAAGATGTGTTTTGCGCTGCATTTGATGTTATATATTTGACAGAATAACACTGCTGATCTTATGATGTGGATCATATACGATATTTTTTTATCCATGCAGATTATTAAATAAAATATTTAACATGACGTAGATAAATACTACCCAGCTCGCAAATAGCTAAAGCTGTCATTTCTTATAAATCTGTATCAATCAATGTAACAAAAATAACAAATTTAATATATTGTAATAATACAGCTAGCATTTCATCATAAACCAATTTTAGGGTCTTTACAGTTTTCATTGCACTTCTGTAAATTATGTGATGTTTTTGTATTTATTATTGTATTGCTATGTTTTTATAAGCTTTAATTTAACTTGTCTTGTTGTTAAGTGTGCAAATCTTGGTACTCATACCTCTTCACAATGACCGTTAGATTTGAAACGTTGCATAGATATGTAAGTCAGATGACAATGCCATATAATGATGCCAATAAGCTGATATGATGATGAAGTCAGAAGGTATTTATAGGAACTTGGCAATGAAATAACCCAACTGCATCGCGTTTGGGCTCTTTAGATCCGTCTTTATGAGAACATCAAAATACATATAATTAACAGGAAAAACACCTTGCGATATGGATGCTAAGACAGAAATAAATAGATGAGCTTTTATTTGTGCGCACTAAAATGAATATAATAATTTTATGCAAGACTAGTGGACGCCCGCGACTTCGTCCGCGTGGAAGTCGGTATCCCGTGGGAGTGAGAAGTTTTCCCAGTAAAAAGTACCCTATGTGTTATTCTGATGTATAACCTATATTGCTGTAAAGTTTTATCCAAATCCGTCCAGTAGTTTTTTCGTGAAAGAGTAACAAACATCCATACATCCATACTTACAAACTTTCGCCTTTATAATATTAATAGGACAAGTTCATAACATTAATGTTAAAGTACCAATAATCCACATTTTCTCTGTTAGTAATTGACTTGATAATCTTATATCGCGTAAAATACGTAATAAACTTATCAAATCAATTACTCTTATAGAATTTTTTTATTATTATTGTTTATAATTTTTTTATTTTATTATATATATTGTTTTTATTATAAATATTTTTTCCTTTCGTAGTTTCGCGACTGAATCCAACAGAATACCAGTGCAGCTGTGTTGGTATCACATAGCATATGCAATAGTGCTTAATAATTTGCTTTGTGCTAACATTAAATAATTTTCCTTTCTTTCTTTCTATACTCTATGGCTAGAGCAAAAGTAAGTAGAACTTTGCTGTCTAAGGTAGCTGCGCTCAATCGACACGCTATTTACAAATTGATATATGATAAAGTTATAATAGAAGTTATACATAAATTGAATTTTCCTTTTACTTCTAAAACTATATGCAACTATCGCATCATAAGCCAAATCACTCATCTGAAAGATCTTTCTAATAGATGTTATGGCTGTATACGTTCATTGTGACGTCACACAAGTAAAATGATACTCACTTTGATCAACTACACGCAACTTCCACTCGACCGAACTAGTATAATAAACTTAGTGTGTTAATCTACAGGGGTCACTTCTGGGTTAAACTCAGGAAACCAGAGACAGAAATTGAGTTAGGTTTGACGTATCTTGACAGGTTCTTTGGTCCAATTGATTGCATATACCTTTTGTGGGAGCCAGGATAAGGGGATGATTGGAAATATGCTTCAACAGAAATAGATTTTAATGCTTTTTAACGATTTTTGTTCAAATGTAATTTAAATTGCAAAGTTTATTTAGCAGATTCTTAAAACGCATTCATTATAATTTTAATTTTTTATTAATTAAAATACAATTCTCGCTTACGAAACGCCAGTTAGAATTGGAATACCTATCTGATAAGTAAGTTCTCCGTAGTTAGTCTATTTCGATCAATATTAATGAGCAAAAAGCGGTTATATGAATTATAAATAAAAATTCCACTCATATGCTATTTAACACCTAAGGAACTGTCGCTTAATAAGGCCCACGGGAACGCTTAAAAAGCGACTAGAATACGTCCTGCAGTACTACACCAACTGCTCAATAGAGATATAAAAATGTAATTATAGCCTTTCACTTAATATTCTTAATGCAAAATGCTGAAATAATCTACTTTGTGACTGCTCTAATCACTGAGCTACCCAGGCTTTATTAGATGACAGAATCTTATTATTAATTATAGTGCTAAACGCACATAAATTGTCATCATAAAATAATCTGTAAATTTTTATTATTATGTGTTCAATAAGTGTTTCTCTATCTATCAACCAAACCAAAAAAGGAAAGAAACAAACTTCAAAATTGTTGTTATGAAAATTCTAATATTACCTGCAATTAATTTTCAAAGTGTGAAAAAGAATTGTTTCTTTCCCCTCTTTCGGTTCGAATTGAAAGAGGTACGAAATTCCCGATATCCGAACAAATGTGTCAAGTTAAACTTTTGTTACAGTGTCATCAGCCCAACGCGAGCTCGGTAAAGGTTTACCGACAAACGCGTCATCGACGGCGCCCCCGGCCGGCTCGGTGGAGAATGCCATCCGACCGGGACTGGTGGCCGTCGACCAGCCACGACCCACGCCCCACACTGGCCCTTACTTCGACCTAATGGCGTCGAAAAACGTCACCGCCCTACTCGGCAAAACGGCGTACTTGAATTGTCGTGTCAAGAATTTAGGAAATAAAACAGTGAGTGATTTTGCAAACTTACATATTTGGATCATAAAGAATAAAAGAAGAAGTGTATTAGCACAAAATTTCCTAGGCGGCATTTATAACAATGCAGTATTAAATGCAGTAGGCACCTCATTATTTAATTCAATAAATCATGGAGAGATATTAAAGTTATAAACTTCAAAATTTTGCCCAAGATTTGTGTAAAAATGTATATTTTGAGTCATAAATACTTATTTAATACACTCATAATTTTTTTTTGTTTATTCCAATCAACTATAATAATTATAAACACTGTGATAATGCCAATTGGTAGGTAAATCAATCATAAAAATATTAATATAAGCAACAGAGATTCCTTTTTCAATATATTCTGGTCTCATATGATAGAATTCATATATGTATGATAAAATGGAACAAATCGACGTTGGTATACACGCTTGCAGTATTATTTTAAAGATAGTCCTCCGATATGGACTATCTATTTGGGCTTCGTAAAAGCCCCTTCTGACTACCCGCCGACATGTATAATATTATGATCCTCCATTATACGATAAAGATCGAAAATAGTTTGTTTCAAATTTAACACTACTTTCAAGGCAGTAGCAGTCTTCTTTCGTTTTTATCATTGACATTATTTAGGAAATGGCAAGTGGCTCCAGTGTGCACTGAACCCTAAACTGCCAAATATTTGCCTCTTCAGTACACGACATTCTTACCAGTGACAACTTTGTCATGTCGCGATGTAACCGTCGTCTGCACGCGACCGAACTAATAAGTGGCAAACTGATTTATAGTTGAACTATTTCGATACTATCGTGAGATATATCTCTTATTTACCTACATCATCTAAATATAGATAGATTGCCGCCTACATTTCAGTGAAACTAAATAAATCTTTTATTTTTCTTATATTCATAACAACATCGTTATATACTAGAAAAGCGGAAACAAATTATGTTATTACACTACATAACACTAATTTTGTGGTTACCCTAAAGCTTTTAATCAAGTTACACTTCCCAAAGTGGACTTGATAACAATATTAGACCCTATTAAATTTTCTGCAAAGCAATTAAATTTATTCGACGGCCTCCAAAACATGATCAAACATTTGTTTTATAGACGTTTCAAGTTATTCCGCGAGCAATTTACTGGAAGCTTTTAATTTATATGGAATTTTAAGTAAGATTAAATAACATAGGTAAATGTCTTAGAACATAAGTAAACATTTTCAAAGTGTAATTGTTAATGTAGAAACTTCAATGTTATTATAGCCATCTGTCTCAGTTTACTTATTAAACATTAATATAAAACAAAAATACACGTAAATCTTATACAATATTAATCATTCAAAATGTCTATATTAGATTATGTGCATTATATTCTATATACATATTCAGGGAAATAAATATTATTAATATTAACAAGATTCAATAATAATAAGCAACAATAAAATAATATCATAGTCAAAGTTATTGAAGGTCGAATTTAAAATGTCACTTTTGCATATAATCAATATCATCATAATTTTTTTCATGTTAAATTTATATATATTTGAGATTTTTAACATTTTTTTTAGATTTTATAATACCTGTAAAGCATGTGTAAAGATGGCAAGACGTCGCCCTGACTTATCGTCAATATTGGTGTTAGTGCTGCGTGTTGTCAGCCAGGCATTATCGTGTATCTTGACATTTGCCTTCAGATAATAAGATCTATGTGCGACTGTCCATGGGTGATATATAGCCAGTTGCATAAGTCAGTTTAAAGCGACATTACCCTTAAAAATTTGACATTCATTGGAGCTTAAAGGCGCTATTAATCCTTAATGGACGTTTGTGCAACTGACCGATAGTTGTTAACTGATGAAAGACATTGAATGCGAAGAACACAAAGATAATGTATTCGAAAGAGACGATACCAGAACAAATGTAAGGGTTGTGGTTGATAGTGGTGGACTGGAACAAATGAATGACTTTATATATATCTTGGATGGGCTTTTAGCAGGGATGGAAGGTACACCTCTAACATAGAAAGGAGAATGGGTGATGGGAGAAGTGTGAATGGAGCGTTGGGAAAACTTGTTGACCGCAAAACCTTATGCCAGAAAGTGCAGCTCGCTATAAATAATGCGGTGCTGATCTCAACGTCATGTATGGTAGCAAATTTTGGTATGGCAGAAATAACACGTAGGTAGATTAAACACAGTCGAGATGCGTACGTAGAATTTGCGCAGTAACAGACCGCATTCGAAATCAAGAGATAAGAATGAGAGTTGACTTGAAAGATAACGTCGGTGTAAATCAACAGAAACGTTCCGTTGGTTTGGACATGTAGAAAGAATGTTAGATGAAAGAATGAAAAAACTGATATATAACGCGAAAGTGGAAAGATGCTGGAAGGCCACGGCACACATTCACGATCAAATTTATCGTGTTCTCTTATATCAGTAGGTAGATTTAATATCAGTAGGTAAATTATTACAAATATAATCATAGAACGAGAATTTTTAGAACATATCTGTTCGACATTTTGATAACAAAAATAATATGGATGTCTATAACTGTATGTAAGTACGTGAAGAGTCATATAAAAACCTTAATAGCTCGGGGTGTGATTTTATAAACCCTTTTTCTAATCCAAATATTAAAAGCCTCAAAATATAACATAACCTTTTTTGTGTCACGCTTAATAAATTACATGAACATTTCAAACTTTCCAATTTTTACATATATACGCTCCAATTGTGTATATTCTTATATACAGTTATATACAGCTTGGAGCTCAGCTTTTGAGAAAATGGGCTAATCAAACGTCTGGCCTCAGACTCCTCTATCAACTATGTACTTGTTTTAGTATGTTTCTTGTAGTTTCAGCTACAGTTCGCCTTAATAAGTATCAATGTCTCATATCTTAAACTCTTCAATACTATCAAAATTTATATACCTTTCGCTTTAAATGCTAATATATTATATGACCAAATAAGTCATTAAAAACTCATAAACCAACCCAACATTCTACACTTACAATGAGGAACTTTTAAACAAACTTTCATCCACTATTTCGAGCCCATTTTTTTTTCACTTTTAAAGGTAGCCTATGTCCTTTTTTTAGGTCAATTTGTTCTCTATATCAAATATTAAAATCAGTTTAGAGGTTTAAGCATAAAAGTATAATAGATAGAGGCAGACAGATGGAATTGTTTACTTCCGCATTTATATTAGTAGGGATGAATACCTAATATTATTTTATCTTAATATCTGTCGCACCTAAACCCAATACAGATCACCATTTTGATGTAGTTTAAGTACAAGTATTAAGCAAATGCAATTCTGGCTTGACGATGTATTAAAACGGTCCAAACATAAACTTTGCAGTTACAACCGAATTGCTGGCATAAATATCTTAATAGGCCAGAACACACCTCACAAATGGCGGACGTTATGGAATATCTTTTCGTTTTATGACATTACATTATGGGTGTACTAGAGTAGTACAATGAGCTCTTTATTGCGACGCAATTGCTACGGTGAAAACAAAAGGACACATTCAATTTTGATAATGATAACTAACTCAGCAGGAAACGTGTGCCGAAGAGACGATGACAGACGGCGTAATCTTTACATCGGAGGCTCCGAGCAGAGACGAAGTGCAGATCACCGGCCAGATGGTCGAATAATATAAAAAGACAGTAGCGCCGACCTGGTACAGAATCGCATTAAGCAGATCACAATGGAGAAGTTATTGAGAGGCACATCAAGAGCGAGAGAGAATGATACATTTAAAATGCTCCGCTGAATAAAGTCACAAACAATCACGCTCAACGCACTACAACGCAAAAGTAACCACTCATTCTGTGATATAGATATAACGTGAAGTTGAGTACATAAACTAACGAGTCTACACTCCAAGTCGTTGTCCAATTTACATAGGGGTGTACGCCCATACCACAACCTCTCCGCTTAAAATGAAACGTAACAATAGCACAATGCAACTTTAAGCTCCATTGTGAACTCAACTTTATAAATAAAAGTCTCATTAGGCCGTGATGCCACATCTTCCACATAAATAACAAGTCTGCCTAACGAGATATTTCTGTTTCTTTCACACGGCTGCTTTGAAAACGAGAGAGCAGTGCCTGCTTAAAATGTTTTGGAGCGTAAATGGGACGGGAGATTATTCTGTCATAATGGGATTAACCAACTATTAGACTCTAGATTTATATTTTTAGGGTTCGTCTGACTATGATGTAGCTATAAGATGATTTTACTCGGGTAGAGCTTAAGTAAACGTTTTCAAAGACTGGGAATAACAATGATCAAGCAGTATATTATATTAGCTAATGATTCGAGAAAAAAAAATGTTTTATTCTACAGAGATTTTACTGTTTTTATAATTATTTTTAATAATGTGTTTATAGGCCAAGCACACACACTCGTTCAATTATATAATTATTTTAGTTTTACGTTAAAACATAAAAAGTTACCTAGATGTTTTTATGTAATGGTTTATAGAATATTGTTAAGCTGTGATCTATTGTTACCCACATTTCCTTGATTTAAATAATAAAGTAAATGCGGATGGATGTCGATCGCGATTCACACATCATACGCTTATACATCCCGCCTATATTCCAGTAGCTTCCACACTGTGGCTGCAACGACAGCTTTCTTTATGCTCTGGATCATAAAATTGTTATTTAATTTTTAATCTTTTGCAGTGTTCAAGTAATATTTCTTATTACTAGGAAGTAACCGACGTAGAACATCATTTTTATAAATTATAGTATTTAGTGTGACAAAATAAATCATATGAGCTAAAGTGCGAAATTTAAAAGAACTAGCATAATATAATGAAATGATAATCAAAGAAAACTTTTAATGGAAATAACAATTTAACTTCAGTGAAGAAAACGCATAATATAAAAATATCTGAAATTGCAGTTTTAAAAAATAGAACTATTAGTTCAATTTAGTTATTTTTTCTGTGCAAAATAACAAAGAAAAATCCGTTTACTAATCGTTTGTTCCATTGGAAGCAGTTGCAATCGTTTGAAACATAGAATGCTAATGTTAGGAGTCAGTGCAGCAGATGTGCAATTAGAGCCACCTTTAAGATCATTAGTTCTGTACTCTAAATGAGATTGCTTCTATTACTTTTGTTGATTAGCAGAGAAAAAGTGTTATTATTATTTACGAGTTTTTTTTTCTTTGTGAGTACATTACAGGACATTGAGTAAAAAACAGTGAAAATGTTAGAATTAAAAATGATTTTTTTTCGTTTATAACTTATTTTATATTATATCAGACACCGTAAACAATGTGTGGTTAGGTTAGGTTAGGTAAGGTTGGAACTGTGATTAGAATTTTTCCAAGTGTTTTTCTTCAAAACCATGTTACTTACATTCTATTTATTTAAATCAAGATATACTTAAGGGGGTTACACATTTTGATGTGATGATGTGTTGTGGCACAAATAAATACAAACTTTGACTGGTTTGGTAATTTAAATCGAAAGAAAATACTGGTTTCATAAAAAAATATATGTTAAAGTGCCAAACAGTACAATTTGATTATAGACTATATATTAACAAAAACAATTGAAACCATACCGCGACATATATTATAAAATTAAAAAAAAAATAATAATATCCTAAGATCTACATAAAATATTGTAATAAATTATACCTATATATCGTACTAACCAAAAACAGTAACATAACCATGATATTCTACTAATATAATTCTCTCAAGCCATCTAACGAGAAACCCTTCAGACCATTATATAGAGTCTATTGAATATACATACAGAACAAAACTATTCACACGGTGTAAAGAGGAAGCGGGGCTGGTAATTACGCGTTATATAGTACGAATGGAAGGGCTTGTATTAAATTATGGGAAACATGCAATCTTATGAAAAAGAAAGAAGACAGGCAGTGACAAACAGATATAGAAATAAAAACTAACCTCGGTATAATGAAAGACAAATCGAGATTCCTTAAACAAACTTTATTAACATTTTCACTACATTCATGTTATCGAAAAAAAAAAACCTTTATCGTTGATGCCGAGGTTCCATAGATTATTAAAGTTCATAATGTTCAATCATATATGTAAAATGGTCAAATATAAATAATTTAATACAATTTTTAACTGGTTAAAATATTTGCCGCTTCCGCTATCTCTTTATTCCCCGCTATATTTCAGTACGCGGCCGAATAGCAGCCATTACCCTTGTACTATCTCCACCAGCCACTAACGAGGTTGATATCATTACCTTTGGTGCCGTATTGGAAGCGCCCGCAGTATTATTTTACATAAAAATATCACGATACTCATTCGATGAGGTATAATGGTACACTTACCTATTTTAGCATAATGATATTTTGGTTCAGTGGATGCCACATTTTTCTTATCGACCATGGGTGTGTGAATATAATTAATCATACCCTTTTCAGATACAATCGTTTCGTTTTTCCGTTGGTGTTATTGATCTATATGTAATTAATAGCTCGTTTATATCGTTTTTGAGAATAATAAATGCAAATTGGCTGTTACTTCTTTGAAAAACAACTTTCCTATATTCTAATGTCATATTTAATTTTAATTATTTGTTATATTTTGAAATATTTTAAGCGACATATCTTATTACATTTAAAGACTCAGAAGTCATCTAATCTTATTTAAATTTTAATCAGTTGATATTTCAAGAAATTACGGTAAGATATTATAATTACTTGCTATTTATAGCACTGAACGTTTACAAGGTATCTGAATCAACACACCACTAAGTAACTATGACTGATAAGGGTTGAACTGTATTAAAGGATTTAGAACAGATATTCTAACTGGAAACATTCTACAGTAATTAATTTGAAGTCGATCTTATTTAGGAATATCCGGCTCGAAGGACCAATTTGTAAAATTTAATTAATGAAGTTTTGATCTCAAAATAATGAAATAAATATACTCAAATAAGTTGTCTTTAATTTTAGCATGTTCGTAATATGGCGATGTTGATATATATTTAAATAAAGAGTCATATACAATATAAAGTATAAGTAATGGGTACATTAGAGCATAGGTACTACTTACTGGCTAGTATTTTTTAATTAACGGTTTAAAAAAATGAAAATGCTAGCTAATCCCCTCATTATATCTTTGGGTACAGGAAGCTACACATAAATAACTAGCTTTCCGCTGGCGACTTCGCACGCGTGGTTTACTCGATGTCTTGATAGTACATTTATCCTTAGGGAACCGTTTAGTGGGGTAAAAAGTAGTCTATATTAAAATATTGAATTATCCTTATCCAAAATTTGTACAGGAATTTTTGAGTGAAAGAGTAACAAACATACATTCTTACAAACTACCGCATTTATAACATTAACAGGATGTTATAGTCGATTGTTTTTGTCTGCCAAAAGACATCGTGAACGATGTAGGTAAATAAGTCTTGGACGAATCATAAGTGCTTTGAATAAGCTTATTTTTACCAAGTAAAACTTAAGTACAATTTATTTTGTTTGTTACAGATTAATATTCAAGTGTCTTGGGTAAGGCACAGAGACATTCATCTGTTGACTGTCGGCCGATATACATACACAAGCGATCAGCGCTTTAGAGCAATACATTTACCGCACTCTGAAGACTGGACTTTACAGGTAAGTTGTAATAAACAATTTAGAAGGGTGTGGTGAAAGGCTTTTACCACTTGAATACATAATCTTTGTTTAAAAAACTAGGTGATACGTACTCGTTGAAAATTTTATAATTAAATAGCTATTTTCCCGCAACTTCGTCAGCGTATATTATGTTCTATTAACCCAAGAACCCTGAACCCTGAAATCCAAGAACCCTGTGGTTTTTTGAGCTGATGATGAAATTACCTTGATGTTTAAGTTCTTAGATAGTACAACAAAAAAACCAACAAATGTCCAATATGTTTCAGCACTTTATCTTTGAAACTTTAGATATATTAATCCAATTCTAAAGTTTACAAAAAACTTTATCGAAAACGTAATCTACGCAAAATTCTTTGAAAGAAACTTTTTTTATTTTAGAATAAACGCCATCTAGAACACAGCGTCATCTATTGGGTGTATTTGTAACCTAGATGTCAAACGATATTGAAGAATTTTATCTATGAATCACGGTACACCGCCATCTATGAGAACTTCATAAAACTAAACAGTAAATCAACACTTGCTTAAGAAACAATTAATAAGTACATTTTATTCGTTTACATTCACGACATAAGCGAATAATTGAGATGATAACTATCCTATCACGTAAGTTGGACCAAAATACGGGTACATGTGAAATTTGATTGAAATCGGTTCAGTAGTTTTGGAGTTTATTAGCAATATACATCGTGACACAACATTTTTATAGTATAGTATAGATTATGACTACAGAGATAGGGCTTTAGGCAGACAAATAAACGAAGAAACAAACAGAAAGTCTTGTGTCCAAGCCTCTTTTAAACACCATTAAAAATGGAAAAACATTAGTTGACTCTTTCAAATGTTCCTTTTCTTACTTATACAACAATACTCATGATTATGATGCCTTATTGATTATAATAAAAAACAAAATGAAATTATCGCAATCTTTTCAACATTAGAATATCTTTTAAAGTACACGCGAAAAAATAGTAGCTGTTACGATAATCGATTAGTAGTGGCGATTTGTTCAGCTATGATAGTTTAATTACCCGGACTTTCAATTAGATACCCAGCGACGGTATTTTTTCATTATAGGTATATAAAATACCAATTTGGTATAAGAAGTATGTGTAACATTTTTTTTATTTTTATTATGAACCATTGCGATTAATTTGTGTCCATGATGTATTTTGTTGTAGTTCTAGGGCAGACATGTAAAATGAATGAATTTATATTATGATTAATAATTGGATGAAATTAGAGTTTTTAATTATTAAGAATATTTATTAATAAGCAAAAATCGAACAAATGGACATTATTATTTTTAAATCTAAAGGGGTAGGAGACATTTTCTGTCCATTTCGCCAATGATTTTGACGTCATAAATTTAATGTATTTCCGTTCTTGTCTAAACGAGTTTATATCTCAGCTAACATCGATCTTATAACCAGGATAATTGGATGTTACAATTTATTTATTAAACTAAATATAACAACTGATTTGATTATAAAATAATATGCATTTATGAATGTTAAACTAAATAGATTTTTAGTTTATAATTTTTCTATAAACAGAAAAAAAAAATGTTGTACCTACCATAAAATTATAAATTAAACGAACTTACCTTAAGTAAAGTCTAATTTTAGTTGTACGAACTGCATAGTCTCGAATGATAATAGTTTATAAAGTAGTACACGTTCTCCGGTAGTCCACATTCACGAATTTTAGATAAAAAATTAGCTCTATTCCAAAACAATAAAACTAAAAAGAAAAAATATGTCTCCCTTCTGCTCCTAGCGCCATCTAGACGGTTACGTCATTAAGTTTAGAGATTTAAGTCCTGACACCATATATACATTTTTTACGATCAATGGGTTACTGTCGATTTTACTATAATCAATACAGTTGTATCTAAAATTATAAAATGTAACTTATTTAGGTTAAGAAGTATGTTACTTATTTATATGATTTGTGTAAACAGTTCACTAACGCGAAAGTATACAATGAATTAATAAGGTACTATTTCATTATGGAGTCATGAAGCAACCATCGATTGCTAAGTTTGTATAATTTTATAAATAGATACTGGTTTACCTTTTGGAAGAATTATATTTCGGTGACAGTCCTTGAAATTTATTGATCACATAGTAACTGTGTAAAATCACTCTAGTATCTATTTAACATCATTAGAATTTTCTTTAACATCAACACTGCAAGAACATGTCTAGCGCTGTTCATGACAATCCCCTTTATCAATACTTAGTAAAGATCTTTCTACCTTTTTAAGAGCTTGTTCAGATATCACAACCTGAAATCTTATTTTGGAAACCTAGCATGTTTTTTCTATTGAAATAAGGTCTTATTCTATATTTCTTATGTTTTCCTATTGGCTCTCCATTTATTAACAAATCAATCCACTTGGGAGCTAATTCATAGTAAATTAACTGGGCCAATTTTATTTTTGCCCCATTTTCTGCTAAAGCGCGTGCACGTCAGCCGAAACAGCATCGTGCGCGCGTTCTCTGATCGATGGGACTCGCCGCTGCTGATGCTTGCGATGTATCTGCAAACGGCGACGGCGACCTCACAGCCGATACGTACATTTTTTAATAGTATTAAATTGAATTAAATTATAAAATTAAAATAAATGAAATCATTAAATTAATTAATTAAATTAAAATATTATAAACCTAATTTCATCATAACACAAGAGTTATGGTTATATGTCAGATAAATTATATTATGTATTCAGATAAAATGTCATTTAATTCAGGTTGTGAATAAGAATTAGAATAATTATGTGACTAATGATTTAAGTATTTGATTCACTTTTCATTAACCACTTGCTGTAAAATATTTATGAAGACCGGAAATTTAATTTAATGTTACGTCTATGGCCATAGGTAGATCCTTATTTAAACAACATCCAACAATATTCGTATATCACATTGACAAATTCTAACAGAATTAAAAAATATATATTAGTCAGTACCTATTATAATACTTTCTACATATTTAATTAAATGTAATCTTTCCTTGTCTATATTTTTCCTTCTATGGCTGTCTTTTTACATAAAGTACTTTGTCATCTATTAATACAGAAAGAAAAAAAAATGATAGGTATATAATACTAACATAATAATACTAACCTCATGTATTTACTTTAAAGGGCTAAATGGTCCAGCATTTATGGCATTTTACCCAACTTGGTTATAGCAAAATGTCTAGTTTATTTCATACATAAAAAACAATAATGATATTTAGGGATGAATATCTAAATTCCTATGTAGAACTAAATAGGTTAGCGTTACAACTTTTTCGCCTGAATGAGCAATCGCAAAATGTGTTTTGATTGCATACACTCATAGTGAACTACACAAACTTAAGCCAATTGGCCGTGACGCCGTTGTTAAAGTTATAATTCATTGGTTTGTCATTTCTTGGACATCCATCGTTTTAAGTTTCCTTCACGTTTCAGCCAGTGTTTTGTATTATGCACTTTGTTTTGTAACACAATAATACTTTTTAAATAATATTTTCGCAATAAAAGACAAAATTGACCATGGTTTTGACTGCACGAAAAACACTAAAAACGTTATCTTCTAGATGGCACTAGCAGCCGATAAGAGACATATATCTTTTCTTCTTAGGTTTTATAGCATTAGAATAGAGCTAATTTTTGCTCTGAAATTCGTAAATTATTATGTAAACTGATATCATGAAGAGACTATGCAGTAAAGTACAATTTTCATATTAAACTTTTTATATGATCATTTTATTCATATATTCGACTTCTAATTTTACGAATAATGTAGAACAAACTTTTGAATCTCCATTAATTACTTTATGAGAAAAGTTTTACGTTTGAAGATAGATTAACTTAAAGTGTAATACGATTTATAGAATCATAAAAGTCATCAAATCGAGTTGAAATTTACTCCTCTTGTCAATTCAAAACTTTTAACTTGATCTTTTATACCCTTAAACATAATTAGACTTTAATATTGTGACATTGATTGTACCTTGATATTAAATTTATTCAAAAACAATATATATTGATATTAAAACACATCATAAAATTTATCAGTTAAATAAATAAAGTTGTATCTAACATAATTTTAAAAGTATTTTTGGTATTGAATTATTGTTTGTTTACAGTCACATATTATATTATTTTAAATAATTATTGACAACATCACACATATTGCTCAGACCCAATGTTAATGAACTTGAAAACAATGAAGTATAATAAAACTTTTAGTTTCAACCACTCTTTCACAATGCTCCGGATGCACGCCTTCGCGCCACCGCATCTCGAACAATAATGCGCTTAAGACTAGCAAGAAGCTTATAGCAAGAAGACTCAAACCAGTATTTTTTTTATTACGCCAACACAGCATCCGTTTCGGTCAAGTGACATTGTTTTAGTTTTTAGTTCTGTTCTGTGGATAAATTAATTTGTTTAATAAAAAACCATAATTCATGATTGCATTTTACAATATTACACTCTAAAATTTGTTTTTAAAGATAATAACTTTATAATTAAATTTCAATTCTTAAAAAATTACAACAGAAGGAATCACAACACATACACCATAGATAATGTAAAAAGTTTCAATTTCTACATTGACTTGACCGGAAATCGAACCCGGGATATCAGAAAGATACATAGCAAACATTTACAATATTGAAAAGAACATTTATTAAAATGCGAAAGACGTCATTAACAAGAATCATAAGTCCTGAGGTCTGGTAACCAAAATAAAAATCTCTAAATCAACATTTTCATTATTGAAATAGGTGGCATTAATTCCACTCTTTCATATAGTCTATTTTTAACCCCAGACGCAAGAGAGGTGTTCTGAGTTTGTTGTGTGTGTGTATTTCATTCTGTCTGTGGCATCATAGCTCTCAAACTAGTGAACCGACTTGTATAATTCTTTTTTTTTAATTTAATCGAGAATGTTCTTATCTATATCTTATGAAAATATGTGCATTCACTTGAAGGTAATCAGCTCTTTTCCGACATGATGTAGAGGATTCATTTAATTTACTCCAAATACACTTTTGCTGCACTGATTGAGTTGAAATTTGATACATATAGCAAATCAAATAACACGATAATTATATGGTGACCTTGACCTGATGCTGCAGCCAGGATAGTCTGCTGTTTTGGCTTGAAGAATAAATTAAAATGCTACATAAAAATACTGCACCGCATCTAAAAATATTTTTTTCGTTAGTTGAATTGCATTCTACTCGCGACTTTTACTTCGCTGAGCTAAATCTGATTTCTAGTGAGATGGTTCTGACAGTCTGAAATTACTTGAAGCTATGCTGCAGACGTTTCTACTTATGTCTCATTTACGCAGTGTCTCTTGTTATATTGAAAATCAACTATACGTTTATGCATTTAAGCAATATATTTATAAAACGATTTTATTTTTTGTGTTTTTATATTCAACATTTTTATATTAACGATTTTGCATTCACATTAATATTTCACGTTTACAGACTCTGTGTAAACTTATAATATGAAGCTCTGTAATTATCTTTAAATTAAATCAAATGATAATATTTTAATGGGAAAAGTGACATGTTTATTTAAACACTATTAGTGGAAACTTTACTGATTAATCTGTTATTTTAAAATATTTCATTTGTATTTATTATAAAAATTGTATGTTTCCCAAATATAATAAAATAAAAAAATAAAATCAATAATTGTTATGATATGGCAAATGCCGTGTGTACCTGTAACTGAAAAATATATTGAAATTAAGACTTTTGTAAAGTATTCAAAATAGTGTGAATCTTTTATATTTTGGTTATTGTGTTATTAAAGATAAAGAAATAAGTAATGGCAAAATAAAACAAAATGTGTATCGGATTCGCTCACGAACGGCTCCGTACCGAAATCGAGAAATAACACGTTTGTTGTATGGGAATTAATAAATATTTAGGGAAGTCTTAGTAATAGGGTTCCCGTTTTACACTTTGGGTACCGAACCTTAAGAAATCTTATCTACGATGTGATATTTTTAAGAACATACAACTGATTTCAACATAATATGTAGTGAAATCGATAGATCCAATGTAGTGAAATTATGTTACGTAAACAAGTTTTCATTGACCTTCGTAATGTCAACCTATGGAAAACTCTTTTATTTATATTAATACAAGGTCTACCGAAGTAGCATTAGTGTAAACGTTTTGTACATTAATGAGGTACACATAAGGTTAATAAAAAGTTTGTAATTTAATAACCCTTTGTATTAAACCACGGAATAGATTTTTATTTATTTGTTTATTTTGTACACACATACAATTTCAGATGAACAAATGTAACAGACATAAGAACAAGGACACTGCTTAATTCAAATTGAAATTTCTGCTAGCAGGCCCACAATAGGAAAATAGGTAAAAAAATAAAATAAATAGGAAATTAGGTCGTCAATGTGTACCTCCTTATTAAAAATTAATTTGGAATACATATATACATAAAGACAAATATTGGGAAAGAGAAAATACTTACAAAATTATCCTTCACTCTTTTTTTGAACAAAGAAATAGTGCGATTTTCACGTATGTGGGCTGGTAGATTTTAGATATACAAAATGCTACCTTCATATTTATATATCCTTAAATACTTGCAAAATTTTACTTTGTCAAAAGATCCATTTGCAATTAAAGATTAGTTTAACCTTATACAAATCCAAATTTATACAGATTCTTAGCATCATCTCTATATCTCTAAAGCTGTCTTAATTTGGACTGTTGTGCGCGATGCCTTGATCTTCTTGTCTAGCATACCTCACCAGTATCCATTACTACACCATATTATAAGCTTTTTAACGTTTTTACGCCTTAATTAAAATGTGAAAGAAAGCTCCATAGCCAAGTGGTTCGCATGCCACTTTCATGTTGCCGCTGTCTCCGAGGACCCGGGTTCATTCCCGGTCGAGTCATTGTAGAAAATGAACTTTTCCATATTGTATCGGGCCTGGGTATTGTAGCACCTTCGTTGTCTCATATCTCCATAATATATGGGCTTTAGCTGATCATCTTGAAATCTGAGCAATGTATGTGAGGTTACCTAATGTATACTTATAAAAAAAAATCTTATTGAACGATTGTATTCTATATCCTATTAATATTATAAATGTGAAAGTTTCTTTGTTTTGATGTTTGTTCGGCAATCACGCCGAAACTACTTAACGGATTTTGATGAAATTTGGTATACAGATAGGGTAGGTATTAGCTAACTTAGATAATACTTTTATCCCACTAAACATTTCCCTAGGGACCACGCGGGCGAAGCCGCTGGCGAAAGCTAGTATTAATATATTACTTTTATTTCAGATAAAGTACCCGCAACACAGAGACTCTGGAATTTACGAGTGTCAAATATCAACTACTCCACATATGAGCCATTTTATACATTTGAATGTCGTTGGTAAGTAATTTTTAGATAAGAGAAACAGATTGGCGGGCTGCAGGCATATTTTATTTGCATTATGCATAATTCGAAGTTTCTTGATGAGAAACTCGAGATTTACCCTATAGTTTTAATACAATGTCAAGAGTATACAAAAGTCTGTAGTTCCGATCTACAATAGAAAACAAGCCCCACTATGAAACTGTGCTCGGTATATCAGTATTACTCGTAGACGAGAATTATGTTTCCTGGTTAACACAGATAATTATAAAAAAAAACAAACATATTGAAATTCTAGATAACTAGACTATTTATAACGAAAAATTTGATGTTATAAAATAAAACTACGATTACTTTCTAGATTTTTCGGAAAAAACAAAAACTCACACAAAAATTATCAGATAAAAGTATTTATATAAATCGTTTTAGAATTAGCGTAGTTAGTTTAGATCGCAACAAAATTAAAACCAAAACATTCCTCCTAAGAGTGTATTAAGAACACTGACCATTCAGAAAACGAGAATGATATTTTTTTACATCAAAACTTTAACGTAACAATTGTACTGTTATTAAAACAACAGCGGCATCCGGATGAAACAAGTTTACAGACAAACATGGTACAACGAAATCCACTTTTCGTTGGCGCTTTTAAAGCGATCCATTTTTGATACTCTCTTCGGCTTTACGTTGCATCCGAGTTGTTTGTTTTAAACAACAGTAAGGCAGCGTCACAAAATTTCCGTTAAGTTACTTATATTTCCGTACTGTTATGTTTAAACAAGTCACTTAATTAAGTGAGGCATGTTAGAGTCACGCACGGCAGTTTATGAAGCCGCAAGTGAAACAAAAACCGTGAAACAGTCCCGAAAGACAAATTTTCAAGTCGATGTTGACCCTCCTATAATAAGTTTCTAGAAATTTCTCTGCACACTGTTTCAGTATGTTTCTTTGTTAAGTCAAACACGTTGAAGTTAATTAATTTTGGATCCTAGTTAAATAAGTTCAATTCTGTCGTGAAGCGTCCCTTATCAATTATTTACTTATCAGTTGATGTTCCAATTAATACGAGCAATTCCAGTACCTTTGGAGAATTAAAGCGGATCATTAAATATAACTTTATTGTTTGTACTTCATGAGTATTTAATAGTTAAGTTGTTTTCAAAATATTAGTGACAATATTTGGTCTGTACTATCTACCTATAAATGGGTATACTCTAGTGTTAGATACCTTTTTTAATTACCTTAAACATGCATTACCACACTTCTCCTGAAGTACTTTATCGTTGTTGTATTTTCTTATCGAATAGTTCTCCAATACCTTTTCCGAGTAATAAATCGTTTATCATTATTTTAACCTCCCTACACTATTCAATCATAAGTAATGGACTTTCAGAAGTTTTCCTGGTTAAAACAGGAAAATTATAGTATATAAAATAAACAATATATATATATATATATGTATTATATTTTGCAGAACCTACAACAGAAATCATAGGTGGTCCTGATCTCTATATTGATAGAGGCAGCACTATAAACTTGACTTGCGTGGTTCTGTACTCACCAGAGCCGCCAGCGTATATTTTTTGGAATCACAATGATGCGGTAAGTTATAATATTTTTACTCACTCACTTAATTGCCTTTAATAATTTTAACGAAAAAATTAAATGAATACTAAAGAAAAAACGTTACAATAATATAATATTAAGCAAATAATCATTTAAGTTTGTAATCTGTTTATGTCCTACATTGTTCTCGTAAATGAAAACAGTAAAACCTTTTTAGGAACCCATAGGACGTTTAAATCGAGGGATCCAACCTTTTTCTGTATAATAAGCCGACGGACAGAAATCGACTTCACTACCTAATAATATTTGGGTTTAACTTGTATATCCGAAAATAAATCGTTCAAAGCATAATTAACGGACCTCGTATTAATTTACAACTCGTACAAATTATTCAATTTATTCTTTTCTACGGGGTTAATTGAATTAAATGCTCACTGATGTTTAATTATGTTGTCATTTCAATTTGATTCGGGGCAAACTAATTTGAAACTTCCTTTGCAGATAATAAGTTACGATTCCCCACGAGGAGGCGTGTCGGTTGTGACGGAGAAAGGGGAGACTACCACATCCTTTTTGCTGATCCAGCAAGCTAGACCTTCGGATTCGGGGACTTATCAGTGCAACCCTAGTAACGCTCAGTCTAAAAGCGTGGTGGTGCACGTTTTAAATGGTGAGATTTTATTTATATTCTTTCTTACTTTTGTGAACTCTTCCTGTTGATTTAAAAAAAGGAATGCAAAGGTTTCTGATTACTACTTAGTTTAAATCCTTTGGTAAACCATATTAAGCTGAAGTTTTGTAATTTAGCTAACAGGTTAACGATTTAACTTAAGTCGTTAACCCGTTACCTAAATTACAAAAGATTATAAATAATTTAACAACAGATAAGTCATCTTTTTCATCATAATAAAGATAATATGGAATTTCATAAGTAATGACTGACGAATATATGATATGATCTGACTGTAAGCTTAGACGATATACAGAACTGATCAATCTCAACTAAAAAGCTTTTAAACTGTACAGAAAAATTCAAAATGATTCACCGATCTGCAATTCTTAAATCACTCCGCGGCATTATTCGTAGAGGAATCTCAATCTGGTTGATAAACGACCTCAGTGAGATAGCGGAAAGAAAATACATTTAAAAAAAATCCCAGAAAAGAATAAAAGCTGTGTGGATAAAGGCCATTATCATTAAAACAACGATAGCGATAAATCAGTGAAATGAAACGTTTACTCTGAATGGGTGCGTTAATATTTTTTTATTAGCCACCAGCGATATAATTAGCTCTGCTCGTAGAGTAAGAAAGATCATAAAATTTTTATAATGATGAAATTGTGTCTGTTGGATATTGTAACATTTCCTTCAATAATTGATACTGCATTGCATACATTGCATATTCTTAATACCAATATTCATTTTCAAAGGAGGATTTATTACTTTATAGGTATGTATTAGTAACATTTTAAAACTTATATGGTAAAAAGCCAATGAGAAAATTGGCGAAGCGGAACAGTCAAATTCATAGAAGAACATATTTGTAGTGCAGGTAAAAATAAATAAAAGAAGAGGGAAATAAAAATATAATTTGATTATGGCTAGAGGCACGCGATTGGATACTTATATACGATCAAGAGTACTGTACTTACCTACTCCTTTTTTGAACCCGTGAAAACTGACACTTTTTTCAAAAAAGATCCTCCTTTGCAAGTAAATGTTTGAATGTTAAAAAAAGTCAAATAGTCAATATATTCTACTCAGTAAGTAGCGGCGGAAGAAAACAAATTACGACCGCATTTTTTTTTTCAAAACTGCAAAGTTCTTAGTTCTTATGTAGATGATAAAAAACCTTTTATTTCAATTAAATGTGAACAAGATTTTATCAATCTTCAAAAAGACCTACACTCATTATATGATTACTATACAAAAAAAACAAAATTACTGTTAATGAAAAAATGCCAATGTATTTCATTTACCCGTACAAGAAACAGAATAATGTATAATCATGAATTCAGGACCATTATAATATAAAACACGGATAACGTAAGACATTTGGGTATTATAGTAGATAGCAAAATGATTTTAAATGAACAATTTAGGTGTCTTTCTACGGTCTTGAAAGCCTTTCTCTAATATCGAAATTCTAAAAGTTGGACTGATTGAACGCATTCAATAAAACTTCATCAGGATCGATCTATCTCTCCTATCCCAATGATTGCCACAGTCATGATTTACTCACACTTGAAGAAAGACAGGCTTATGGACGTGTGCTTTTTGTATGACATTGTACGAAACTGCGTGGACTGTCACTATCAAACGTAACATACCGCGTTTTTACGCGTCGGACTCGTCACACACCTCTATTTCTTGTACCATATCATGCCACCAATTAAGCTAAAAGTGCTATCTTTTAACGAATCGATTGTACTCACAGCGATTCTTTCAAAGAACAAGATATCTTTTTATTAGGTAAAGTTTTCATGTGCGCTACATAATTGCAAGTATAATAGCAACATTTAGCTTGATACTTAGTAGTGGTAAAGTTTATCTTCTCCAATTGGGTTCTCATAGAATAATGGCTCTCAATGGTTTGTCAGTTTACCTAATTTACCTTCCTGTAGTTTGAGATCATCAGAAAATCTGAAACTGAAAACGCCTCTACATAGCACCACCTTCTATGATGGTTCCTTCAGTATCCAAACTGTTCGACTGTGGAATGCTCTCCCGACTACATTAAGACATGCACAATCGATAAATATCTTCAAAGATTTCGTGAAAAACCTCTATTTGTCCACATAACTATGCCGTTACAACAAGTTCATAATTTCTCTGGTAACATTATAAAAATATATTTTATGTATTTTATTATTATAATTTTTATCTATTTATGTAGATGTAGTTTTATCAGTAATATGTTATATATGCAATTGGTATTAAATTATTTATATATAAGTAGTATTTATAGTTTTTATTTAATATATTTCAATATTTATTATTTAGTATTTACTAAATTATTTTAGTTTGCACCCCCGTTTCCTGATTGTCATTTCTCTCCATCCAAAGGTTGTCTGGTAGAGATCGCTCTAAGCGATAAAACCGCAAATTGTTACACTGTTATATTAATATTTATATGTAAATTTCTGTATCCGTGGTGTTGACAATAAAGAGTTATTCTATTCTATTCTTATTTTAAATTTAATCAAATCTTGAACGTATGCGTATTGACATCTTTGTGCGGCTGGTTTGTGTGTGTGTGAGAGTAGTGGTCGGAAAAAAATGAAGGATTTGGAGATGCATAGTGAACGTGCAGTAATATATGATTATTGAATTGATGTTTTATGTGCTATTTTGATACTTGATACAATATAATCATAATTTATTTTTTAAGCAGCAACGAATTATACGTAATACAATAAGTACATTAGAATCCTGTAATCGGCTTTATGAATCATGATAAATAACTTTGTAATTATGAACTATGAACTGTAACAAGCTGTAGGTTAAAATAAATAAATAAAAAATAATAATATTGGACTTCAGGTAGATAGTATAACGGCAAAATGCATGAATATTGGCAGAATTGGCTTTCAGGACTGTAGTTCAAACTTAATGTTCACTGGTTTTAGCGACTTGGGTTTTCAAAGCCCCTTATTAAAGATTTTTTTTTTAGGTTGTAGTAATGTTTCTAAGGTATAAGAACGTCAGAAGCTCAGTTTTTCATTAAAAGGCTTGGTTCTTAAAAAATATGTTTAAAAGAATAGTACCTTACGGCCTATAAAGATTTTAATAAAGTATTTAAGTAAACCTCTTTGTGATTCAAAGTTAGATATAGGCAAGGCGAAGTTTTCATAAAGTAGTCATTAAAGACTCATTAATCCCTAAAAATATTTTGTATTATATACCTTGTTTTTGTTTTAACTAATTAAAACTAAAAAACGAAAAAAAAATAATGGAAAACTGATAGCAAGTAAAAGTTAATTGAAAAATAAAATTAAAATCTATATAAACCTTGTTTTTCAAAAACGAGTACTTTCTACGTTTTAATTTTCTATTTTAACACATGAATTAGAGTTCGTCTTCTTCTTAACTTTAGTGGCACTTTACGTCACCACAATAGTCTTTGTTTAAATTATTGAGTACCAGTATCAACGTACCAAATTTCACTAAAAAACGTAACAGACACAGTCGCATTTAGAATGTTAGTATAGATTTATCTTGTAATTTGCGTTTGTCACCTTTTCAGCAGCGTGTTATTCTAAAGTATTTATGTACAGTCAACAGCACGTCAAGTTATTGAAAACTGTCAAATTTCACCTCTATTCATTAAAGGTAGATGTCAATTCACCACTCAATTCTAAACCATAATTAGATGTCAATAACCATTTCAGAAATTTGACATATTCTGGTAACGTGACGTGCAGTCGTGTTTGTACATTTAGAAAGTTGCATCAATAATGATATTGTTGAGGGCAGTTTTAATTTTTGCCAAAGAAGCAAACTCCATATTTCCTTTATCAGGTGAATACCCGGCGGCAATGCAGCGAGGCGGGCAGGCCTTCGCCCCAACATCGCCCACGCACTGCATCGTCTTGGCCGCTTGTCTCTTCATCACACTGTCTTGACACCTGCCGAGTATAAATAACGTGTAAATACATTGATATCCATCTTGTTTAGCTGTTAACAGTGACGTATGTGAACTAGAAATACAAGATATTTAACACTCGAGAAAAAAACATGATATTTATGAAAAAAAAAGTTGTTTATTTCAAAAATGGAACATGGAGATATTTAAATATCTAACGACGAATACTTTGTATCTCAAACGTCACTATTTCCAGATAATCAGATACTTACTATTTTATAGTATGGGTTGTGTTATGTACAATATAAATAAATCGCTGAGCAAGTAGAAAATGCTTGTTTCGTATAGAAATTTGTATATAGTGTACTATAAAACTAAGAGTGTTTATTGGTTTCCTTCTGTGAATATGTTAAGTTTATATCTTGCCCAATTTGAAAATCTTTTAAAGGATCCTGTGAGAAATTTACAAGTAGATAATAAATGCAAACGATCATTAATATAACATTTTCCAATACCGTTACGGGTAGATTTTTATGTAATCGACATTTATAAATTCGGGGCCTTACCATGGTATCTCTTAAATGCAGCTCAAATATAGTAGCTTAAGTGAGACGCCATTGTACACATGTATATAGCACATTTCGCTTCCGCCACTATAATTGAATCAAGCTAAAGAGATCATGGAAAGTCCAAACGAGATCATAACCAATATTAGTTCAAAGATTTAACGTACCATAACCAAAAGAAAATGAATAAATATAAACAAGAAAAATAGAAGTTAAAGACACAGGAATGTAATATACAGCTGACAATACTACGATAAAATACAAAAGCTTAGGAAGTGGACTGTAAATAATTATAACTAAATAAAGTTATACGAATCATTCTATATAGCTTTACAGAAATGTAAATTGTAAGTAAAGATAATAATTTAATTATTGTGAGTTTAAACAGTCTTGTAAATATGTCATTTAAGGAACTTAATCAGACAGGTCTTTATAATATGGGGTTGAAAATGTACCGTAAGATTAACAATATTTTAGAATAAAAGTTTGGTGTCAGAATCAAATTCAGACAAAAATTTTATTTGTAAAAAGTTTTCTCTGAATTTGATAACATTTGTAGATCAACCTGTTTAATAAGTTCCTGCAACTAATATTATACATGGGATAAGTTAATAACATTGTAAGCGTAATTTTAGAGATTATAAATTTTACAGGTTAGTTAGAAATGAAATATAATTTAAAAAAATAATAACCCTTATCAATCTTCCCCTTTCACATATTTTTCCACTTTCCAGACTTTTTTATTATTCGTAGGTAAAAGCAAAATGGTTTTTAAATCTCCTAATTTGAAAGTGAAATATATTTATTTTTTTAAGAGACAATTTTATTTAACTGAACGATATTATTATCCCCGTCCTATTCTGTAATACATTGAAATCTCTCGTTAGAGGTTTATAATCGAAGTGCTTTTTAGACAGATGCTGTCGTTAAAAAAAATACTAAATTGATATTTATAATTTGTTTATTTAATGTAGTTTGTACATAAAAAGTGCTGTCCAAAGTTCTGCTGAGTCGGCTACAATTTTCGATGTAAACTAAACGATAATGGACACTGTTCCACTGATGTGTTTCTCTTGAAATTAAAATTATTATAATGACAGATCTCGATTATTATAACAAGTTATTATTATGTCAAAAGTTTATTATTGTATACAAAATAACAATAGTATTAAAACTTGTTGTATGTATAATGGTATCAGGTGAAGCGGTATGCCGCAAGATATAAATTACATGTGTAATTAAAAAAAAACAATAAAGTTTAAAAAAAATATTTGTGTTTTTTTCGATTGTGACTAATAATTCTCACAAGGTTATAATTGACTAATAATTGCATATTGCAAGGTGATTTCGTTTGCGAATGTATGTTGTGTTGGTATTGTTAACTGGTCATTTCTTACTTCTACTTTTCTTAAGCAAACATACGATTATTTATTGTACAGTCCAAATAGAATTACTTCAAAGGATTTATAACGTCCAACTGTCACCTTGTTTCTTGATACAGGTCACTTATGTAAGCGTTAAAACCCCTCGACCAATAGAGATATTTGAAGTTTGCAAAATACCAAACTAGACTACCTTTTTGCACACAGAAATTGTTTTTCTATACTTTATACTTTTGTGTTTTTGCTGTTTTTAAATATTTAAATATTATCGAAAATTTTTCCTGTAGGCTAAAAATTTAATATAATGGTGAAGTACCAAAAAGGTAGTTAATAATTATACTGAGATTAATAAGCTGTATAACTTTTAAAAAAATGTGATCCAAATATCCTGTTAACATAATGGCTGGAAACGTTTTTATATACAAGTAAGTATAATAAGTAGCAAAAAGATTGTTCAATTTGATATTTTCTAAACCTAAAATATCTCTATCGGTCCAGGGTGTCTGACGATTACATCGCTTATTAAAAAGAACCTTGTCCCAATTGGGCCCCTGGGGACCAGAAATCTTTCTTATGTACATTAGCATGTAATAATAATAAAAGGCAAATGTCAAATGGACTTAATAAGGCCAATTTTTAATTATTTAAATTGTAATCCAAAGGGGCGGTCAATAAGGATTAGAAAATCATAGAAACCACGAAAGCGGAGCCGGAGGCCGCTTTATAGTACTAAATAATACTATAAAGTGTTAATTATATTTTACCTGCATCACGAAGCTAAACGGGTGAGTAAACACTACTTTTTACACATTAATTGATACACAGGAACAATATAATAATTCTACTTTAAAATATATGAAATCGATTCGTTGGGTAGCGGGAGGGATTATTATGTAATGGCAAAAAGTAATTGATTTATTGGAATTAAACGGAAAAGTGTATTTTCTTATTATTTATTACTTTTCTAAATTTCCGGAACTTTCGTTACTAAACAGAACAACGAGTGAAAATATAATAAATAATTTAAAACGCATTTCTAGTCGTAACGGAATTCCGGAAATATGGTCTACAGTTTTCTAGTGAAACGTTTACTTCTTTTTATTAAAAATGGAATATTGTACATAAATTTACAAGTCCTGAATAGCCACAATGTAATGGTATAATGTTAGAATTCAGAAACAGTTCTATTTCTCTCGAAATTCCTTCGCCTGTACAAATTTTTTACGATGGGAAGGTAAGGTACGAGTACATTGCTATTGACTTCAGAGAGTTCTAAACTAATAATTTTCCACAATTTAAAATAAAAATCGAAATATACATATATAACTCAAAGGTGACTGACTGACATAGTGATCTATCAACGCACAGCAGAAACCACTGGACGGATCGGGCTGAAATTTGGCATGGAGATAGATGTTATGACGTAGGCATCCGCTAAGCTAATTCTACCCCCAAGGGGATGAAATAGGGGATGAAAAATTGTATAGAACTTTGTCAATTTTAAAACGATCGGGCTGAGACTGCATGCATAAAGCTCTATGATGCAGGCATCCTCTAAAAATGGATTTTGATAAATTCCACCCCTAAGGCAATAAAATAGGGATGAAACTTTATTTCAAGTATTTTAAACAATATAATGAGAAAATATTCGTTAGAAATGCTGCTTAAAGTAACTTTACCACGCCGACGAAGTCGCGGGCAAAAACTAGTAAGTAATAAAATAGTTTAAAAGTAAACTTTATGGTAAGGTTGGTTGTGTAAGTCGCCCGCCTGGTCAATTTGGTTATCCTATTTAATAGCTTGTGTTATTTTTATGTAAAAGATTTTTTTGTTTATAAATAAGTATTATTGTTGTTATTGTTACTCTTTATATATATACATACAAATATATATATACAAATGGTTCTATTTATTATTATATTTAAATAAAGGTGGATTGAAAAGTTCGCGGCCTTATACATAAATACTTAACTTAACTATTTTAATGTAACTGACCTCATTCGATTAGTTTTCTCTCTGGTTGTCAAATTGTAAAATTCTATCGCAATAGCATTAACTGTATTTAAATTACACTGAATATTGTGAGCCTTTGTGCAGCATTTTTAAAGAATGGAGAAAATTGAGCAACATGCGGTCATCAAACCTGTTTAAAAAAACTAACTCCAAAAGAGATTTATGAAGATATGTCGTATACGACTGTGAAAAAGTGGGTTGCTGAATTTAAACGCGGACGAGAGAGTATTGAAGATGACCCTCGCTCTGACCGGCCTATGATGTCTACGACTGAAGAAAACATCGAAAAAATCTGTGATCTGATATTGACAGATCGGTGATTGACCATTAGGGAGCTTGCAGACACTATTGGAAAACGAACACAAAACATCATAGTCAATGAACTTGGATTTTCTAAGATTTCTGCGCGCTGGGTACCCAGATTGTTTTCAGTCGTACAAAAACGAATACGCCTCACGATTTCTCGTGACTGCTTGGAAATGTTTGAGGCTGATCCACAAGATTTTTTATCCAGATGTATATAGATGGATGAAATTTGGGTACATCACTACACCCTAGAGTCAAAACAGCAATCCAAGCAGTGGAAAAATGTGATAAACCGACTCCTAAAAAGGCCAAAACAATTTTGTCAGCTGGTAAGGTGATCGCGTCAGTTTTCTGGGATGCTAAGGGTGTCATCATGGTGGACTACCTTGCAAAAGGTGAAACTATAAACTCGGCTTATTATTGCACCCTCTTACGTCGCTTGCGCGAAAAAATCAAAGAGAAAAGGCCGGGATTACTCAGCAAGAAAGTATTGTTCCATCAGGATGATGCACGCGTTCACACGTCTGTTGAATCTATGGCTCAAATTCATTATTGTGGCTTTGAATTACTACCCCATCCCGCCTATTCCCCTGATTTGGAAACTTCAGACTTTCATTTATTCCCAATACTAAAAAAACACCTTGGAGATCAAAAATTTTCATCAAATGAGGAGGTCTAAGCTGCTGTGGGTGACTTTTTTGAAGAAACTTTTTTTATGACTGGCGTTGGAAACCCGATGGAAGAAGTGCATAGAGTTAAGTGGAGATTACGTG